CAGCAGAACTAGTTAAAGTAATAACATGAGCCTACTAATACCACCATTTGATACCTTTGAAGTATAATCCTTACCAAGGACTTCTCGAATTATGAGTTTTGATATGTAATAAAAACTGTATTCCCATTAGTGTTTTCGTTTGTTTTCAATATCAAAGCACAGATCCCCAACCCCCCTTACTCACCGCCATTACATGGATGACCTTGAACTTTTTACCAAAGGACTCCACTCTAAAGTAACTGATTCTCCTTATCGAGTTCTTTTCTAATGGTATTGGCAAGGCAGAAGAGAGACGATCAGTCAGTTTACTTGGGGGAGGAGTTATTGATCATCTCGTGGAAAGTCGGGTCTATACGTACTTAGGGGTGCAGGGTAGAGACAAACTCCAGAATGCCCATATCAAGGACACACTTCGGGGAGAGTCCAAATGTAGACAAGAAAATCTGGAGTTCAGAGCTGAACGCTCCCAATAAAGTCAAATCCACTACCCGTCCTTTCGTATTCTTTTGGTGTTGATTGGACGAAACCAGAAATTCAGGGTATTGGCACCCTCACACGAAGAATCATGTCAGACAATAGATCCGACCACCCTCGCTGTTCCCTCAATCGCTTCTATTTACCAATTATAATGGGAGGGCCTGGTTTTATTAACGTGGAGGCTCTTCATGATAGAATTTTATTGTGCTTTTTTTGTACTCATGTATTTGTCTGATGATCCTCTTGTGAAGCATGTCAAGACTCATGATGAAAACAAGGCATTCCACAATTTTCTTAAACGAGCCAAGGATGTGGGACATAATCTCAATGTTTTTGTTGTTGGTTCTGTTCTGCTGAACGGTACATGGGTGAAGTCGACTGGCCTGAAAAGTGAAACAGAAGACTTTATGTTTGCTGCTCAGGACCAGACACTTCCCACTCGAAACCGTCAATGTGTGAGTTGACCGATTCTGACCCGGAATCCAACACAGGTTTTTTCGTATAAGAGGTAAACGTCTACGAACTGCGCCGACGCCGTGACAGAACTGAAATACTACTCAAATCAACACAATGCCTTTTAGAAAGTGGTAACAAATGTTATATTTGGGATAACACTTTCTGAGTAAAGTATAGATTCTCGTACTTTTGGGGGTTGAGTCCCGTCCGGGATTCGAACCCACACTGCCAGAGTGAGGCATCTAATCGCCAGCACACAAACTCAGCGATCTAACCCACTCACTCACCGAGGCTTCCACAAAATGAAAGTCCGACAACTGGTAGTCTAGATTGCGTACTTTGTGTACCCCTCTGACAAGTGTAAATTGGCACGGCTCCCATGGCCGAAAGCTATGGACACACAATGCATTTTAGAAAGTGGTCAAATGTAACAAATGTTATATTTGGGATAACACTTTCCCGGACGGGGCTCAACCCAACAAAGTACGAGAATCTGTACTTAACTCAGAAAGTGTCATACCAAATATAACATTTGTTACTACCCAAATCGTCGATAAATACAAGTCAGATACCTCATGTACTGTGACATGATGTGATACCCCAGCGTCGACCATGTGTCTTCCTTCTCTTGAATTGCCCAGTGTGTATATTGCCCTCCTCTCCCTCTGGGACCCGTGAAGATTAAGGGGTAGAATAGGTCTTCAGCAACCCATGCTTGCCGTAAAAGGTGACTATGCTTGTCGTAAAAGGCGACTAACGGGATCGGGTGGTCAGGCTCGCTGACTTGGTTGATGCATGTCATCAATCCCAATTGCGTGGATCGATGCTCATGATATTAATCACTGGATTGTCTGGTCCAGACTCGATTATTTACAGACAGCCGTCATATAGCTAGAATATTGCTGAGTGCGGCGTTTAACAACAAACCACCCAACCTCTCCCTCTGGCTGTGACATGCCCCGAGCAGTCAGGGGAACATGCATGGCTTCTCCATGATCAACAATTCCGCCCTCGTGTCCCTCACAAGAGTATGGAGAAATCAGTGTCAAAGGAAATGGTTTAACAGGATGCTTAAGTTCAATACTTCATCTGTATATTTTTAACACGCACAATCCCCTTTATCAGTTGCACACAGATCTTGGAACAACGATAACCCAAATATCCAATGCAAGTCAATAATACTTAGGCAAGCATAGATGCCTTCAGTATGCAGGGAGGTGAAATAGAAGATGTCTACAGTCGCTCTATCTATTTTATATTATAAGACCGCTCAACATACTAAAAACCGTATAAACTATTTGTATTTCGGAGTCTTCCCTGTACATATTCAATGAAACGAGTGTGTAGCCGATTAACCATACAATAGTATCCATGAATACTTAATTGACACTTTTTATGGAAAGCATTTCTTTTTATTCTTTGTCACGACGTTTCAGAGCCACTTCTTACTCCTTCATCAAGTGAGTGCTTAGTAAGTGCATAGAGTTTTTATGTATATTCATTTTGTTATAACGCCCAATTTACAAACAGTTTGCTTATACGATTGTTTACCGGGAAGTTTTAGGCCTATAAAACGCTGAATTAGGATGACACTGACAAACAATCCACTTGAGCGTGTATCGCAGGCTTCCGATTCCTCAGAAAACTTCGTCCCAGTGAACACATTTACAATTGTCTGCTGTGTATAAAGTATGAAATTTTATAATACTCTCTCTGATTTCCTTTCCTATTTTATTGACACACAGTTTATAACTACATAAATGTAAAAAACATCGTTACCAGATTACACCGACTGTAGTGTAAATCACATTCGACGCACATACTACCCTATGAAAGGGTTTACCTGCATATGAATGCTAGCCAACACTGATAGTATTCCGTGCGTTGTATTCATTAGTACTTTATCATGGCCACTGTTGAATATGACATGTGTTCAATAGTTCGGAAGTAGGAAACACCAGCATTTTATTGTCTAAACGCACGTACATGCATGTTTATCTGTTAACAACACGACCCGTACTGAATGCAAAAGAGGAATGATATACGGGAAAAGTACATGATTTGTATGCTGCAGTACGCTAGGGTACACCCGCACCTCTGCACGTCGACTTGTCGACTTGTAATATCTGCGTATTTGATAATTGCTGACATGGCATTTATCTATGATCGGTGTCTGCGCATATCGCCGCCATCAGCAATATCACTGGGGCCCCGTTCCACAAAGCGATCTTAGCGCTACGACTGTGTAAGTCTATGTTAACGCATGGGACGTGTAAATAATCGAGTCGGGACCCGCCTAACCAGTGACTGATATTATGATTATCTTTCCTCTCTGTCGGGATAGGAAGGCACGCCATCGCCAAAGTCACTGAGTCTGACTATCCAACCCATTTCGTCCCCGTACGACAGGTTGCTGAAAGGCTGTTGGTGACCAATTGTAACCCATATGTGACCGAAGATTGGCTGTGTAGATCAATAAATTTGATAATATCTTTTGTAATAATGGAATGTTGTTTTGTGCCATCTTTTGACATGTATTAGTGAGTGAGTGAGTGAGTGAGTGAGTGTGGTTTTACGCCGCTTTTAGCAATGTTCCAGCACCATCACGGCGGGGGACACCAGAAAAGGGCATCACACAACGTACCCATGTCGGGAGTCAAACCCGGGTCTTCGGCGTGTGACATGTATGGTAACAGAATGGTTTCCACATGACAGATTTCAACACAGTCAGAATACTTGCACAATGAGCTGTGTTGAGTCTGTGACATAATTCGAGCGATCAGCGCCTTTTCGTTAGGGTATACATTGTGCTCCTGCTCGCTACAAGCAAATTCCTTGTTCAATTCCTCACATGAACTGTACGCAATAATTCGTGAAGTGAAAATTAGCGTGTTGATTCGTTATGCTTGGAAACTGATTTACCCTAAATAGCATTATATTCTGTCATCATTTTAGAGTGAGTACGGTTTTACGCCGCTCTTAGCAGTATTTTAGCAACATCACGGCGGGGGACACCAGGAATTGGCTTCATTGTACCCACGTCGGGAATCGAACCCGGGTCTTCGGCGTGACGAGCGAACGCTTTAACCACAAAGCTACCGACCGCCCCCATAATTTTAGAACAGAACGCTAGCTGATTTCCATAGTTTGGCCTCACTTGTTGACTTACATATGGCATGCATATTTAATTTGTTTTTACTTATGCGTTTGAGTGTGGAAAATATACACAACAGTAAGAACGATAACATGATTATTTTGTAATTTTAAGATATTTGGCAATGTAAGGTCCAATCCAAGAGCACATTCCAATTGTCTAATATATATTTCACTAATTTTAATGGATTTATACTTTCACGAACAATAAATGCAGTAAATTCATCTTCACTAAAGTCCTTATCACAAATAGGACATACAGCTTCTTTATATTGTCTAATGCTTCGTACCTGCTAAGTTAACCTCTTAAGAGTGCAAAGATATTCAATAGTTGTAGTAAATTTGTAGCCACTCACTCATCATATTCGTAAATACCATGCTTTGAAACCCCGGTGTTTCAAACAGTAACACACTCGACTGGATTAAAAATAAGTTACGAGGACAACACATGTGATTTTTTAATACGGATATGATTCAGGACAAATAGTAGCTGCAGTAACAGCCTAACTCATCTGTTTGTTTGTTTTATTAATTTCTTTTTGTTCAGTGACCATAGTAACACATATATCATTTCACTAATTAATAGTTTGAGTCGCATTTATGTTCGTGCTATTTCACACATTTTCTTCATGGCGACTGTATCCCATCCCATGTTTGATCTGTAGCCAAAACTTGTACTCGGCAAGAAAAACACGTCGCGAAAACACGGTCACATGAGGGAGCACTTCGTGATAATAAATGCAAACGATTATTTCAGCTGCATTTTTAAAATATCGAAGAAAAATGATTTATATCATTTCATGATAAAATATAATTAATAATATATATTTTATATGCTGTATTTTAATTCATAGTGATATATCCCTCACTGTAAACATTAAGTAACGAAAAGAAACAATAAGTTCTCCATTGCAGACAGATACTTCCGCTGCCAACATGGCGTTCACGTTGTACAGTTTGATAGAGGCTGTGATTTTATGTTTAAATGCAGTGTGTGTTCTACACGAGGAACGGTTTCTTGCCAAAGGTACATATTTCAGGTTGTCCCTGAGTTGTTAAATACTTTACGAGTATCATAAAAGTCGAAGAATGTATGTTCATCGACATGTTTATAAACAAAGTGAAAACATGAAAAATAGCCACTGGCATCTGGAGATCTCTTTGACTTTAGTTTGCATGCCAGATGATAGATGTTGTCTTTGCTCTAAAAGCTGAAACACGTCAACGAGGTGTTTGACTAAGTAGCATATGTACTTGATCATTTAGGACTGCAATAGGTAAATTATGTTGAAAACAATAATTATTGTTGTACCTCAATCCAAACATGAATATAGTGAAATAGTCTGAATCAGAATATGCTTTTCAAGTTTTGATAGTCAATGAGTCAATAAACTGAGTCAGTAAGACTGTCATATGTTTCCCCAGGCAAAAATTAAAATAGCGCCCTATAAAAATTAGGGAGTAATTATCAATCAGCAATCTTGCAGCTATTCACTTAGACTAACATCTAGTCTCTGAAATGAACATATCGTTCAGAAAAAATACTGTTGTTCAATTATCTTAATAATAATATAATAAAAGGGAGCCCAGAGACTCTCATTTTCAGATACTGCAGTAATCTATACTTGCCAAACATTATAGTGTTGCATGGGCTGTATTTGATATGTTTGTATCAGGGTCTTTAAGACAGATTAACGGTGACTATAGAATAGAGGTGTGATGTATTAAAATTTGATTACGACAGTGAACACATCCGACCTGTCAACATTGGGTTCATGTAAATTACTGTTCTCCTGAAAGAAGAGTCAGTCCTTATTCAGAATTTTGGTGGCCATGTCATCAGGGATAGACATGGCCTCCAGTATGTCAGTCTAAGACAAGTGAAAATTTTGAGGAACTGGTTGGTTTCATCCAAAATCTAGTTGTTTTACATAAACCTCTAGAATGAATTGAATTGAACAAATTGACTAAATGGAGATGACCAATGGTGCTCACCCTGGAGGAAAGGAAGAGTAAAACTCTGTGAACGTTTCTCTGTAGCAGTATGTTATGATTTGACAATCATTCATATTTTGTGAATATGGTTTCAAACTGTCAATTTCTTTTCGAGATTTATTCTAACCTGCAACAATTATGTTGATGGCTGTGCACCATACACTGCTGTTCATTCATGGAAACACTGCTAAGGTACCAACTAATCGGGTAACCCTTGATATATCACTATCAGCAATGTAATCTTAACTGTTCAAAAATAGGTTATGCAAGGATAGGTGGGCATATAGTAATGTAATCTTTCCCAGTCCACAATAAACATTATAAGAAGGATGCGCACAAGTGATCATGAATCAAAATCAAACATTAATATGTTCCAGTTGGATGGGGTGCTGACCAGCGAGGGTTTGGAGAGGAACCAGGAATAAAGACACAAATGCTCAACCTTATTAGATCTATTAGAACTGTTATGAGGAGTAAGTCCATTAACAGTTGTTTTTTAAATGCGTTGAGTTTGAAATCGCAAGACAGATTTGTTAAGCTTTGATATGAATTTACCAGAATATTTTTCATGAAAGTTACATTTTTAGAACCTATGTGATTCTGGGAAGAAATAGGGCCATAGTACAAGGGGTACATCCTGCTTGTACTAAGAGCCAGCCAGGATGGGGATTGGCTAGTTGACTGATTATGTGTAATTGTACCCTGGCTTCATGGATCAATGCACATGCTATCAACCACTGGTTTGGAGGCTGCCATGATACAGCTTGTGTGCTGCTGATTTATTCATATCTGGTTGGTAGATGCCCACGATTGATTCACTGATCAGGGCCCCATGAGAATTCCGGGATAGAATTGGTTGCCAGCATCCTATACTTGTGGTAACAGGTGGTATGATCGGATGGACATGCTCAGTGACTTGGTTGATTGTGTCTCATGGTACCCTGATAGAGTGGATCGTTGCTCATGATATCAGTCACTTGTTTGTTTTTTCCAGACTCAGTTATGTACAGGCAGACCTGATATGGCTGGAATATTGCTGATTGCTGAGTTAGACAACAAACAAAATAAGCAAAAGTTTTTATATCATGGTTATTATAGGTTCTTTACCACATGGACATATTAATCTAGGTGATAAGATATAACAAGAAGTTAGAAACTATGAACAAACATTGGTCGATAATCTGTTGTGTTCCCCATAGTGATGATATATCATGATTATGAAGTGTTTCCAATTATCTGAAACAGCGAAATAATATAACATTACCACACTCTCTCATGAATCTGTCTTTATTTTTTGTCAATTTTTTTTCCAAAATATTTTCTCCAGTCATACCAATCCCGACCAATATTTTTAAGCATAGACGTTAATTACTTTGAATTGCAAATGCAGTTGTAATCAAATCTCAGTAACTCACACTTGTGCAAAGATTAGTATTGAACATGGAGAATGTCAGTACTTGTTGCTTCAGTAACTTGAATTTGTATATTTTCTTTTTTTCAGTACCTTTAATAGGAATCAACGTAGCTGTGATATTACTGAAGCTTGTGTTTGGATAACAGGAGGAGGTTCCAGTGGCTACATGTGACTATTGTTTTGCACCCATCCAGCAAGTACTGGATGAGAAATATTCATCGGTGTGCCTTTTAGGAAAATCATAAAATAATTTCATCTTTCATATGATTGTGACGACTAATAAAATTAACACTTTTCTTTTTTTAATTTTGGATGAATCTATGATAATGTAAAGACAGTATGATCTAAATTATGTTGATGAAGACCTCTTCTAGAAAACGGAAATGCTCAAGAAACATCACAGGGACGAAATAAAAAGATATTGAGCCAGATTGCAAATGGGCTGGCAAAAAGAAGAGAATGCTGGAGAAGAATAAAGAAAAATCATATCATGTTCTTTCTTAGAAATACAGCTTTTCTATATTGATTTGATATGCCATTTTCATCAACATTATTTCGGATCAGATAAGTAATGTATTGTTTTGGTTAAAAGGAAACCAGTGACATTGTTCTAAAATTCAGGATGCAATGTTACCTTTTGTGCCAAGTAAAAGGATTCATTATGTTCAGGGCTGAAATTTGAACACAAATGTGTCTTGCAAAGTAATGGCAAGTTTCATTCATTTCAAACTTTAAACTGACCAGGAAGAACATACTTATTGCAGAGAATCAAGCATAGTTTGAAGTCACAAACTAGCAGGATAGGTTCATGATAAATTGGAAGAAAATACCTTGGCAAATAATCCTTTTCTCCATGCATATAGTGATGATATTAGGTGAATACATAAGTAAAGAGTGCATTGTGGAGCATGTCAATACATTACATTGATTGCTATGCTGTAAATAAAAAGATGTGGGCCCAATTGCATGACTTTCATCATGTGTAAGTGTAAAAGTTCTAAAGATAGCGAATCATTCTGAGAGATTGTGCATATTGTGGAGTCTGTATGGATGTACATTTCATGTCAATTTCCAAATGTCTTCTCAATTTACAGTTATTGTAAAGAAAGACTGTACATATGCTGCAGACTTAAATGTTAGCACTGTTAAAGGTTTAATTTTGAAAAACTGAATTGATCCAATGCAGAATTTGTAGATTATGTGCTACGGTGATGTAGGATTTTACAAGTCAACGTTTTTCATTTAGTCAGGAAACATCACCACATCAAATGTCATCAGAAATAAACTATGTAAACACTTTTATGTTTAATGATATAACTAAACTTGTTATAAGGTATTATGATATATTTATATTATATTTCATTGAATTTTGTTGTTGTTAATGTACAGTACAGTACAGTACCATTGCAATAAACAGTTCTTTGTCAGCTGTGACATACATATTGTCCTTTCATTAACTATGTCACTTTGAAAACAGAATCTAAATCAAGATTTCCTGAACTTCCAACATAATTGATTTTATAGTTCATCATAATGTAGTTTCCTAGGGTGGAGCATCCGGCCATTTCGGTGTCCATATATACCTTCATAATGACAGATGTACTTGTGATGTTTCCTAAGGTAGGGACTGGAAGCCCTGGGTCCTCCCATCCTCCGCATGCCCTGTGGATTCCAACATCATCTGTTATTCGGAGTTTGGTATGCATGTAGGCTCTTATTCGCTTGGATGGTGGGGTTGCCTTGTGATTTCATTGTTTGTTCGTCAAGTCGAAGTCCCGGGTTCGATTCCCCACATGGGTACAATGAATAAAGCTCCTGACATGATATTGCTGGAATATTGCTAAAATCGGCGTAAAACCGTACTCACTCACTCTTAAACGCTTGTATTGACCATGTTTACACTACACTTTGTATTATCAGGGGATTCCAGGCTTCTATAAACTCCCTGGTAATAGGCATGTGAAAATAAAAAAAATATATATACATATTACAGATAGTTTGTCCATATTTTTAGATATAGTGTTGCTTATCTTGATGTGTGACTGGATGGTCTGGGAACAAACACATAGATAGTTTCAGAAGAAAACACTAATTTCCTTGACAACGTTAGATCAAGGTAAAGGCCAAACAAACCTGTTTTGTCTGCAGTAAATATGTTGGGGACTTGTTCTTTCATGATTGACATCCCAGCTTGTCCTTGTGTGCATATAACATCCATGGACACCTTGAACATCGGTCAACATGCTCCCATCATTTATTACTCTAAAGGTTCATTATGTTTGATCATTTTGATAGTTGTTTTTATACTTTGTGCAAGTCATAGTTATAGTAGCTTCAGCCTTTTTCATCCAATTTTGCAGTTTGGGTCATGATGGTAGAAATATATGACTCAAAACAAGTTAAAGAACACCAACAATTGGAAGGCTGTGTTGCAATACCCTTCAGACTTGACAAATTATCTATAGTCATGTGAAAAAAAGTTTTTTATTTTCAATTGAGTATATAGAACTTTTTTTTTTCAAAACTGCAAAAGTTGGTGCTTAGTTTTGTGTTTCCATAAGAAAAGTGAAAGTAGACAAAATCAAAGAACTTTTCAAACACAGCCCCAGAGTAATGAAAGGGGTATGTTATACTGGTATCATGGGTCTGTGATGTGAAGGGATGCCTAAGCTGTGTTCTCCCAGTGTCTCAGGGGTTTGTCAGCTGCTGGTAGGACAAGATGTCATGGTGCATGTGTATTTGAATTTATGTTTGACAACCATCAGTTGACATCTAGTTGCGTCCCTTGGGCACGCCAGAAACCTATGATTGTGGGTTGGAATCCCGGTTCGCCCCGATTATGTTTCTAGGTTTGTCAGCACCATACCCGTGCTCGTGGGTTTCACCGAAGTGGTAAACGTCTGAGACCTGCATCACTTCGGGCTTTCCTCCCACATTAAGCTGACACACTGTGATATGACTGGAATACTGTTAAAAGCTGCGATAAACCAAACTCACTCACTCACTCAGTGGACATCTTGAAGGTATGGGACAGCAACACTGCTTTGTGCAAATTATATTTAAATGTGCATTGGTTTTAGTGTCAACATAAACGAGCGAAGGCTCACGCAAATCATTGATGCATATACACATGGACATTAATTGGGCACCGACCATTTTGTCTGATATGTGCTACATTAAGTATGATTGGTGCTATTCCTTGTTAGAAACACCACAGATTATTAGTAAACTGACAGAGCATGTGGCACTAACATGACACAAATAATGAAGCTGAAACTAGCAATCGGTACCGATGTATTTGCGTTATGCGAAGAAGGGTAAAAACGTTCGTTTCAATGAAGCTGGAAAGTACCATCACCTGTAACCCACACCACGAATCGGACTGTCACATTATGCAGTGAAAACGATTACTGTCAACCTGGGAATCACCACTGACTCTGCAATCAGTATCTAGAGTAGCCACCCCTCTCACGGATGACATTCGCGAGGCGTCTCCTCATGCTGCTGACCAGACGTCTGATTTCAACGTTGGGATTGTATGCCATTCCTGGTGCTGTGCTCGGGTCAGTTCATTTAGGTTTATTACAGTAGGGTCTCCCGCTCGCACTTGGCGGCCAGGATATTCCCAAATGTGTTCAGTTGGGTTCAGATCAGGGTTTGTCATTTTTTTTTGGAATTGGATTTTGAATCCGGTTGTGCTTAATTAATGCTCATGTGTATATATCCAGTTCCAAAAGATAAGGGTAGTCTAAACAAGTATGAATGGCGAAGGGCAGTCGAAGGAACATGAAATTATTATTTCCAGGATATGGAGATAGCAAGCTACAAAAAAATTAATAGTCTCAGGAACAACCGGACATAAAGATATAATTTCAGTTTGTTATCACAGAAGGAGTTAACTATGCAAACATCACAGTCAACAGTCAACAATGATATGATTGTAAACATAAAGTTACGAAGGAAGAGGGAAGTCTTCCACGCAAAAAAGCAAACAAACACATTGCAAACAAACACATTGCTGCCTATGAATATTTTGTTACGTTGCCAGCTATATGCAGCGTACGTTCAAACATATTTAGAGCTCTTCCTGGTAGTGTTGCAGATACGTCGATTATATCCAGACCTAAAAAGATAAATATTCCGCCATTGTGCATGAGAGTAATAAGCTTTCCTTGTAGCCAGTCAGACCCACAAAACGCTCCCCGTGTTGTTTTTTAACCCCTTAACCGGGTACCCCTCTTAGCCCTGCCGGGATCCGATGATGGGTTACAGTCCCAGATTCCCCTCGATTCTGACTCGCTTTCTCGTGGGTTCCACCAAAGGAGCTGAGTACAACGAACTGCATCATCTACTTTCATCTTACATTAAACTGGCTGAAATAATGTTCAAACATGCGCTAAACCAAAATCACCCATTAACGTTCAGCAAGCAGATACACAAAACGCGTCGAGTTGTGCCCCTTAGTCATGTCAGTACCCGCTGAGCCCAAATTCGCCAACTAGGACTCTTGGGGTTATGGTCAACTCGTCCACACGATGACTCTTTCACCAATGACTTTGTGTACTCGTTCAGTTCGACTAACCCGTAGAGGACGATAATCAAGTGATCTGACGAGCATAAGAAATGGTACCAACTAACATTGTTTGTTTCTAAACACGGGACTGGACCAATATCAAGGACGATACACGTACTTATATAGTCAAAACACACGCGGTAACAAAATCTACAAGTTATGCCGCGAATGAGAACAAAAATGTAGGTATTATGTCCACAGTTTGGAGGATAGGGGCACTTGTTTAGTTATCGACCAACAATCCAGACTGCGATCAGCACAGGAAACTCCCTTTAAACCTTCAGAATGACACGCCTATCAATCAGTATCGTGTATGCCAACAACGGGCAACAATGCACGCCCTAACTGGACGACGGGAAGATGGTAAACGTTTGATCCCAAGAAATGGGGTTCGACGCCGTTGTTCGCGGAGGGCCTGTGCTAACTGATACCTGCTATAAGAGCGACCTGGACGTGCTCTAATTTGACTACCATGGTGATCCCACAAGTGTTCTATATTTGATTAGTCTGGTAATCGTGCGGGCCATGACACGACATTCCTACAAGACGTTCTGCACGGGCCCTTGCTTTATCTCGCTGAAAGGGGTCTGGGTGTTCTGTTACAAGGACGGTAGTACAACAGGGCGGAACACTTGGTCCATGTGCCTCTGTCCGGTGATATTGTCTTCCATAATCACCGGATCTGTCTTGACTTAGTAATAATACATGTAATATTATATACACTTATATAGCAACAGCATTTATACAGTAAAGTATGTTGTTGAAAGAGCAAAACGTGGTGGAAGGTCATTGACCCACGTACACGTACATACGTAATATCCAGCGACGTAAGGAGGTGTTAATTGGCATTTACAGAGAGCACCGGGAGTTAAGGGTCCTGCCCGGAGGGGGCTTATGATTAGAGGGGATTTGCCGAATGTTTGCTGTATACATTAAACAGACAAAAGACCCGTGAGGATCTGGAGTAGAATTCAGCAACCCATGCTTGCCGTAAAAGGCGACTGTGCTTGTCGAAAGAGGCGACTAACGGGATCGAGTAGTCAGGCTCGCTGACTTGGTTGATGCATGTCATCGATCCCAATTGTGTGGATCGATGCTCATGATATTAATCACTGGATTGTCTGGTCCAGACTCGATTATTCACAGACCGTCGTCATATAGACAGACAGACCAATCTCTTTAAAATCTGATCTTAGTTCTCGCTATCGCTAGACAAAGATCTGAGGACATCCCATTAGGGGTCACGTCAGAACGACCTTTCATCCAACCAATCAGAGCGTCGCTTACCAGATCATGAAAGTAACAGTCGGAATGTGTTTTCTCATCATGCAACCACGACATATTTAACACGGGGTATTCCGAACGACAGTTATGAGTATTATGACTATATCCATACAATCTCGGCCATCTATAAGCCATTCCAGAATGTTCTTCTTATCAGTTTTAATTTTTTTTAATCGAGAATACGTCAAAATATGTTTCGAAGCGTAATCGCCAGTTTGAAACTAGTGTCGTAAAGCTCGAGAAAGCTAATGATTTCTTGTCAGTCATTTCATTGGTCGGTCAAAACTCGCGAAAGGTCGTTCTGACGTGACCGGTAATGGGATGTCCTCAGATCTTTGTTTAACGGTAGCGAAAACTAAGATCTGATTTTAATGAGATTGACCGACAGACAGACAGACCGACAGACAGACAAAAATAGATATAATTTCGGAACACTTTGGAAACATATTGAAACAATTAGGGAATTTAGATTAATGAAGTTATAGAGAAACGTATTGAAATAGTCCGCTTTACAACATTACAAAGGTGGCCGTTACAGTAGACCATTTCAGATGCAACGAGGGCTGTCGTGATTTTCACTGTTGCATATACACTGAGATAATTTCTTTTTCTGCCAGTATTACGAAGATGAAGAGAAGCTGTTTCTCAGATATGTGACACTTGCACTGTCATATTTAGATGTTCATCAATAAAAAAGCCAAAATGTTAAACTGTCCGTACTTGTGTCATCACAACCTTTCCGACAGAGATACGTACGTGTAGCTGGGTCTGATTTACTGATTTTTCAAATTTTGCTTTCTGTCAAATAATCACGAATAATCTTTGTTCCATATATTTTCAAACAATTTGTTGTCATCCAAGATTCAAGACTCAAGAGGTCTGCCACTCCTAGGCCTGTCTCCCGTTCGCCAAGTCAGCCTGCAACCGGCCAAGAGCCTAGGGTTGGTAATTCGGTGTGCTACAGTCATAACACCATGCGTCGTGGCCATGTGTTGCTCCTTGCGGTATCCATCAACGTCTTGTCCTCTCTTTTGTCACTGTCCAACGGTTTGGGTGTGAATTTACAGTGAGTACATCATTACTTTTATACCTGTATCCTTGTTGGTTAGCCTTCTGTACGCGCAGCTACATGTTAACCTTAATTACAACCGATCTGTGTGTGTGTGTGTGTGGGGGGGGGGGGGGGGGGGACCCCACGTGTCAAAAAGTCCTGTTCCTTCAAACGTGTCGTTTGCTCGTCAGCTTCTGTCAATTCGCCGGCTGATTCACACACTCGTTAAAAGTATCAACTGGTTTAATCTCATACACCCACAATACCGAGATATTTTGAAGATATTTTAGACAACTGCACAGCCATAAAAAACAAACTCTGAACATGTTTTAATCATCACCAATAATCAAATATCACAAGCAAAATTAGGGTGTCTGTATAAGAGGGAGTAGGCACTCCGCTTATTGCCGTTGATTTTCTGGGCTCGATCGTAGCGCCACCAGTGGCTATTACGAGTAACGTCCCTTCTATGTGCCTCCTATTGACCAATCAGATTCAACCTCTCATATCACAAGCATTTGCTTAAGACAAAATGGCGGCGTCCAGTCAAGACGATCTGATCGATTATCAATACATATATTGTGATAAAGCGGGTCTTACTTCGCGAAGAGCATCAAATCACACGAACAGCTTGATAAAAAACATAAAAACTATTTGGAAAATGTCTCTTGACGCCGAGTTGGTGGTACACATGCTTTTCAAATCCTGCAATCGACCGAAATCTATACGACAGTTTATGAACCGGTTGTCGATTTCGTTAACCGATTTTGATTGCATAGACTCATTAGTCCAGCCAAAATATAACTCTATAATTCCAGGCTAGTTCGGCAAGAGTGGCAACTGGACTTTAATAGTCTGTTATCTCCCTCGCCTCGGGAAGATGTCAAAAACATGAAAATGTGCATGCGTGTCCTGGTTGATTGCATGTCCTCGTACCCTAACTGTGCGTCTGGATGCTCTTGATGTCAATCACTGGATTGTCTGGCTTAGACTCCTCTTTATAAACTGCTGTCATATAGCTGGAATATTGCTAAGTGCGGCGTTAAACATAAAATATGTAAATATATTCTTCTCAGAGAACTACATAACCACACTGATACCAACTTAGAGGCAAAATGGTTACAATTTTTACGCCGATTTACTATGGAACACTGGGAATATGGAGATATCGATGTGTAATTGTAATAAATATAAAAAATAATAACAATTAATAAAATAACATTTATAATTTTCGGCAGTGTTTAAAATTGAACGAAATTGTGTAAAAGTACACACAGAGAGTGGATCATTTCTTAGGGAAGAAACTTTTGAATTAAGCTTGCTACATAGAACCCCATAGAACAGCATCTGCTTACTGACGTAGGCCATTGAGTACGACAACCACGGACGTCTTCCCCCGACACATGTATATTGACAGGGCAAGAGTTTATTTCCGGAAAGACGTGTTCCGGGGACTTGAGGAAATATTTCAAGCATCTACTTGTTAATCCCACTTTTCTGGGATACATAAAGGGGGATGCTGGTTGTGTTAGAGTCTCCTGCAGGACTTACTGTAACGGATCGGTGTACGAGTATTGAGTATTGAGCAGAGCATTTCGATGTCCGATATTGAGCAGAACTATTACTCAGGTACGGCACCCATGTTTCATTACTGCGTTAACATGTATTGATAGATGGTCAGCAGTAGCAAGGATGAATACTGATGTCAGGATAAGTAGTTTGCATCACGAGGGTCGTTTGCCTGCATTGATGCATCCAGTAAAGTAATGAATGTAATACATATGCCTGAATGGTGACCTTCAGTCAGAAGATGAACGTCAGTTTCACTTTCCATACAACAGTGTGAGTGAGTTGGGTTCAACGCCCCTTTAACAGTATTACAGTTATATCGCGGCGTGTCAGCTTAATGTGAGAGGAAAGCCCGAAGTGATGCAGGTTTCAGACGTTTACCACTTCGGTGAAACCCACGAGCACGGGAATGGTGCTGATAAATGTAGAAACATAATCGGGACGAACCGGAATTCGAACCCACAATCATAGGTTGCCCAAGGGACGCAACTCTGCACAGTGAATTGCGGCGCTCTAGACGACTGGGCCACCCGTGTCCCCTCCATATAAGACACCGTAACTATAGGCTAAGTGCCTTGTAAGCAACATTTGAATTAAAAAATATGATTACAATTGTATTGTATTGTCGAGTTCATGGCTAATGTTACAAATGTATAACAACCTGACTTTTGCCATCTGCATGTGTATCATCATTGATAACACGATTCTCACGCAAGAACCAGGAACTGTTCCGTGTTCTATGACCTCTCTGCTTCCGGGTACCCTTGAAATGCGACAGATCTGATACATTCGCAAACAGCAGATAAAAGTGTAAACTATTTATCTTAATGTAAGCAGGTTTATTATAATTATTTATGCGTCCTCCGGTAATATATGCTATCCGAAGTTGACATAGTTGCAGGTGCCGACTAAACAACAACTAAAACCTTGGCCCCCTTTTGCAAATCAGTTGACCTTTCCGGAACTTGACGATTTAGTCAGTGTTTTGGCAAGTTATTTAAAGATTCCGAGTGGTAAGTGAATATACACAAAAAGGCAACAAAGACACCTATCCTTGCTTAGATATGGCTTAAATCATATCCATCGGGACCAGTAAATGTTTCTCACATGTAACTGCATTTCTCTTTTCTCGGCCTTCGAAATTCACACAAGTCCGCTAGCCCGAGACTAGTAAATTGTGCCTTTTGATAATCCAATGGTGGTGGTTCTCATAGACTAGTTGCATTTGAGGGCTATAATTCTGAACCATTTCTCAAGGCTTCAATTTGCTACAAATCGGAACTGAAGAAAATTGACAGCAAATGTAAACATAGTAAACATTTTTGTTTTGTTCAAGTAGGTCTACCCGCAGACGACTAGTAACTTAAAGTTTCAACTAGTCATCTGGACTAGTCTTTTAAGGAAGCGATATCAAATGAAAAACACATATCGACTGCATATTTCTCCTTTTCGTTTCAAGTGTTCATGTTCTTCCAACTTCCACAAGCCGATCAAAATCAGTAGGTTCCCAGCACCCTTTGCTCGCTGTAAGACCCGAATAAATAGCAGTCCCTTATATCTCTATTTCTATTACGAAGTTTAACCTGGACGCATTCGCAATGACAGCTTCGTTTCTGACGTGATGTAACTATCTGACCTCTCCTATCCTTATAATACAGCACAATACTCATCTCGTTCTTGAGAGATTTTGATTGGACGGCTACGTTTTGAGTTAAACCAACCGAATCTGAACGAAGCTGTGGGAGCAAATGTCCAAATCCAAATCCCACCCCTTTCTGCATCCGTCTACTGCCAAATCCCAACCTTTCTGCACCCGTCTACTGCCAAATCAAGCCCTTTCTGCACCCGTCTACTGTCAAATCCCACCCCTTTCTGTACCCGTCTACTGCCAAATCCAGCCCTTTCTGCACCCGTCTACTGCCAAATCCCACCCCTTTCTGCATCCGTCTACTGCCAAATCCAGCCCTTCCTGCGTCCGTCTACTGCCAAATCCCACCCTTTTCTGCACCCATCTACTGCCAAATCCCACCCTTTCTGCACCCGTCTACTGCCAAATCAAGCCCTTTCTGCACCCGTCTACTGCCAAATCCCACCCCTTTCTGTACCCGTCTACTGCCAAATCCAGCCCTTTCTGCACCCGTCTACTGCCAAATCCCACCCCTTTCTGCATCCGTCTACTGCCAAATCCAGCCCTTTCTGCACCCGTCTACTGCCAAATCCCACCCCTTTCTGCATCCGTCTACTGCCAAATCCAGCCCTTCCTGCGTCCGTCTACTGCCAAATCCCAACCCTTTCTGCATCCATCTACTGCCAAATCCCACCCTTTCTGCATCCGTCTACTGCCAAATCCCCCCCCCCCCCCTTTCTGCACCCATCTACTGCCAAATCCCACCCCTTTCTGTACCCGTCTACTGCAAAATCCCACCCTTTCTGCACCCGTCTACTGCCAAATCCAGCCCTTTCTGCACCCATCTACTGCCAAATCCCACCCTTTCTGCACCCATCTACTGCCAAATCCCACCCTTTCTGCATCCGTCTACTGCCAAATCCAGCCCTTTCTGCACCCGTCTACTGCCAATCCCACCCCTTTCTGCACCCGTTTACTGCCAAATCCCACCCCTTTCTGTACCCGTCTACTGCAAAATCCCACCCTTTCTGCACCCGTCTACTGCCAAATCCCAACCCTTTCTGCACCCGTCTTCTGCCAAATCCCACCCTTTCTGCACCCGTCTTCTGCCAAATCCCATCCCTTTCTGCACCCGTCTACTGCCAAATCCCACCCCATACTGTACCCGTCTACTGCCAAATCCCAACCCTTTCTTTACCCGTCTACTGCCAAATCCCACCCCTTACTGTACCCGTCTTCTACCAAATCCCAACCGTTTCTGTACCCGTCTACTGCCAAATCCCACCCCTTACTGTACCCGTCTACAAGCAAGGCAACCAATTTCTGTTTACAGAAGTCCTGTAAGTTCACGCCACACAAGTCATCTTACATCGCCCCAACTGTATGTATCTACCACGTAGTGTGCAGTCAACAGCAGCACTATAATAGGGCAGACTGTTATCGATTCACTCGTCACACCGGGAAGACGAAACTAAAAGCTTCATTCAAATGTTCTGCTAGTTCCCGGAAAAACCTAATCGTTGACAACAAGCTAGGCGATAGACAGTTGACACTTGTGTTCTCACTGCAGGGTTGAAGTGGACCTGTTCTCTACTGGGAATCGTCCAGCTGTCCAGCCCCTATATGGAGGACACGGAGAAAGACGGTGAGTTGTATCCCCTGTCTCAGTACCCAAATACCAAAGCAAAGTATACTATCGATACACAGTGTCTCAGTACCCAAATACCAAAGCCAAGTATACTATCGATACACAGTGTCTCAGCACCCAGATACCCAAGCCAGGTATACTTTTGATATACAATGTCTCAGTACCCAAATACCAAAGCCAGGTATACTATTGATATACATTGTCTCAGCACCCAGATACCCAAGCCAGGTATACCATTGATATACAATGTCTCAGTACCCAAATACCAAAGCCAGGTATACTATTGATATACATTGTCTCAGTACCCAAATACCAAAGCCAGGTATACTATTGATATACAGTGTCTCAGTACCCAAATCACTTATGCTATTGATATTCAGTGTCTCAGTACCCAGATACCAAAGCCAGGTATACTATTGATATACAATGTCTCTGTACCCAAATACCCAAATCAGGTATACTATTGATATTCAGTGTCTCAGTACCCAAATCACTTATACTATTGATATTCAGTGTCTTAGTACCCAGATACCCAAGCCAGGTATACTATTGATATAATATACCATTAATATTCAGCGTCTCAGTATCCAGATACCCAAATCAGGTATACTATTGATATTCAGTGTCTCAGTATCCAGATACCCAAATCAGGTATACTATTGATATTCAGTGTCTCAGTATCCAGATATACTACTGATGTACAGTATGTACTGAATCCTACCCACATTACACCAAACTGTCATTGGTTTAACCCCATGCTATAACGCTGTTTTTCTCTAAGGACTTATGTTCCCACTGGAGCTATTGTGTAATGTGTATGACCTGTATAGTAGCGTGTCATCATGCCTCAACACATACGGACAGGGACTGGGTTATACACAAACCGTCATGGTATGGCACGACTATTGCTGACGGCGGTGGAAAACAACATTCACTTAGATCGTTTGGGGAGTGATCTATCGTCGACGCAACACACCTTATATATTAAAGCCAGTTGACTATTTTCTTTACACTGATATAGCGATGGGGGAGTGAGGGTAGTTTAACGCCGCTTTGGACAGTATTTCAGTTCTATCACGTATGTCAGTTTTCTGTACGAGGGAAGCCGTGACACATGTCGTAGACGTTTATCATTTTGCTGATGTTCACGAGCACGGATATAGTGCTAGCCAGAGACCATATGCCAACAAACCTATATGCCATAGTCCCGCCTCCTCTACGTAGATGTAAGTATCCTCTACGTGGATGTAAGTGTCCTCTACGTAGATGTAAGTGTCCTCTACGTAGATGTAAGTGTCCTCTACGTAGATGTAAGTGTCCTCTACGTAGATGTAAGTGTCCTCTACGTAGATGTAAGTATCCCCTACGTAGATGTAAGTATCATCTACGTAGATGTAAGTATCCTCTACGTAGATGTAAGTGTCCTCTACGTAGATGTAAGTATCCCCTACGTAGATGTAAGTGTCCTCTACGTAGATGTAAGTGTCCTCTACGTAGATGTAGGTGTCCTCTACGTAGATGTAAGTGTCCTCTACGTAGATGTAAGTATCCCCTACGTAGATGTAAGTATCATCTACGTAGATGTAAGTATTCTCTACGTAGATGTAAGTATCCTCTACGTAGATATAAGTGTCCTCTACGTAGATGTAAGTATCCCCTACGTAGATGTAAGTGTCCTCTACGTAGATGTAAGTATCCTCTTGCGTAGATCGATGCTCATGATGTCAATCACCGGATTGTCGGGTCTAGATTCGATCATTTACAGACCGCCGTCATATAGCTGGAATATTGCTGAGTGCGGCGTTGAACAACAAACAAACAAACAAATGGTCGACATATCGCCTAGGACGGTGTGACGTCGCGGTCATGGCGGTCCAGACAAACGCTTTTGTTTATCTATTTAGGCCGGTACCCCAATGATAGACCGTTGCGTTTTGCTAGTATAGGGTAAGCTATATATAACCAATATAAGGCAAGCTAACCACACACCGTGTTCCCAGTTAGGATTAAGTAATAGCGGGCGGTGGGGTAGCCTTATAGTTAAAGCGTTAGCTCGTCACACCGAAGGCCCTTGTTCGATTCCCCACATGGGGAACCCATTTCTGATGTCCTTGATACTGCTGGAATATTGCTACAAGCAGCGTAAAACACCACTCCTTCACGCAAAAGCCTACTGATTTTTTTCAATCACCTGTTTCTCAGGTCCAGACTCGATTACTTACAGGCCTCTGTGATACTGATACATGGAGTGGTGCCTATCGTATCATAAAAGAGCACTCACACTCCCGGTTGAGTGTACATCCATTTATTTGTTAGGCTTGTTGGGTGTCATGATTGCGATTGATGCACATATTTGTATCCTTGTGGTTTTGTAATGTCAAATTGTTCACTATTTCTAGTGCTCCCCCATCCCGCGCCTTTATTTAGTAAAGAAATAATCGCTTTTGAACCATTTTCTGAGAAACCTTTGATTGCACTTTATGGACGTGATGCTTAATTTCAAGGTAATTGTAATCACTAACGACTTCAAGTTCATTTTTTAACGCTTATAAACCTATTCATTGGGATCACTATTAAGTAAGAGACTTCTTTCTATAGGCATTAAAACCTTTTGTAAATGTTTTCTTTATATTCCCGAGGATCGAACTCGCGACCTTCATATCTGTAGCCCAGTGAGTGTACCACGAGGCTACAGAGGCGTTCATAAGCCTCACTGGTTTTTAGAATGTCCTTTTCAAGATCCGTACGCCAGCAACAGATATTTTACTCGCGTTTCCTAAGGTTCATGGAAAGTATGTTCGAAACATAAAAATGTTGATAAATGTTGTTTTAAGTTTCTTTTTTCGGTTTATAAGTTTGGAAAAACACTTTCCCTCGGTTTTGGTAGACAGAGCATGCCCTGGGGGTCGGGAAAAACCGCGGGGGCTTCCCTCTCCCCAGGGCATGCTCTGTCTACCAAAACCTCGTATGCGTGTTTTCTCCAATACATAAACACTTCAGACTTACACCTTTAGAAGCCACAGACCCAAATATCACAATTTTACTCTTATTACTGTTGACTGATAATTTCCATTTAATGCAGTCATAATGCACAGCGTCAATAGGCTTTTGTGAACATCAGGACTCTCGCCGAAATATCAGCATCATCAGCTCAGAGTTGAAGTACAGAAATGTATTATCCTCGCCAGCGGGTAGACAGCAGCCCTTACACTGATTTTCATTGAGATGACTTTAGATCATTTAGATAAATTGAGAACAGTAAATTTTCCGCTTGTCGCACTCTGGCATCACTCGGAAAAGGATCTTTTATCTAACCGTTAACAATATCACATGATTTTATATTTAAACACGTGTTTAACTGTGTACAAATCCAACCGTTAATACCATTTTGAAGTAATTTCCCCCATAGCCCGAGTCTTTATAGATATCAAATACATTAGCTACACGTCCACAGAACTATAATTATATAACTACTATCATTTATAATGGACAATGTTAATTTATAATGTCAATATTTGTGTTCTTCAGATTCATATCATTCATGTCATGTAAGTAAAGTTATCTTATACAATACGTACGACATAGGCTCCACCTATAACTAAAGTCCAATGATGTGAGATACCGAATCAGCATACTAGTATTCTACTGGCGTCTCGATATTAGCTAAGAAATAGTCTTTCTCGGGTTGAAGGCGGTGTTCTTGTTCTCGATACTTCTTTTGTCTGGAGGCAAGCGTCCCCTTGAGAGAATCTGGTTGGTGGCCACTTCAGGCTAACTTTTGGTATGATTTTTTTATTTGGCATGACTCGTGTGCTTGTCCACAGTAACTGTTAATCCCCTGCAGTGTGGTGGCAACATCAGGATAAAGCCTTCACATTAGTTATCAAGTAGCTGCTTAGAACATCGGACCAGAACATGGTTATATTATGTGTCAGATTACCAGAAGCTTAAATATAGCCTTCTTTAATCTCTTTATGAATCAACAATCAGGGTATTTTAAGCTTCGGCTATTTGCCAACGAAACTGTCATGTACACGTCTTAGAATTAGCCTATAAAAAGCCTTCAATCTGGTGTAACAGATACATATTAATAATCTAAGCCACACACCTGTCATGTAAACAGGCCGGCTAATACTATAATGTTAATACGAGTATAACATACCAGTTGCATGGCGTCTCGCACAGACCAAACAGCATAATTTAATAATCCATTCAGCACCATCATTCTCTCATCTCTATCAGCCTCCACTCACCCCCTTTTCGTCCCTAGAGCCTTGGGGGTCCCTCAATACTCGATGGCTCTTTTAGAGAGTTATATATATATATTTAACCTTATACAAAATAAGTAAGAGCAAAAATGCGAGTTCCGTTGCGTTCGTTTTGGAATTAATCTTGCGATCACACATGCCTGCCAATGGGGATTACGTCACCATGAGGGTAATCTTAAAATAGTTAGTGAGTGAGTTGGGTTTAACGCCGCTTTTAACAGTATTCCAGTCATATCGCGGCGTGTCAGCTTAATGTGGGAGGAAAGCCCGAAGTGATGCAGGTTACCGCTTTGTTGAAACCCACGAGCACGGGTATGGTACTGACAAACCTAGAAACACAATCGGGGTGAACCGGGATTCGAACCCAAAATCATAGGTTTCTGGCGTGCCCAAGGGACACAACTCTGCTCAGCGAATCGCGGCGCCTCAGACGACTGGGCCACCCGTGCCCCCTAATCTTAAAATAAAACCTGCGTGTGTTTGTTGTTTAACGCCTCACTCAGCTAAAATTCATGAGCGTCGATCTACGCAGTTGGTATACGATGACGTACATCAACCAAGTCTTTTATAGAATGTATGTTCTCTCGGGGAAGGCGGTTTAGGCATTCACTCGCGACGACAAATTATCAGGGCCCCTTTCCCTTTTCGAGACGACTTGTTTATAATCAATGTGGGCGGTCGGGTAGCCCAGTGGTTAAAGCGTTCGCTCGTCACGCCGAAGACCCGGGT